GTAGTAGAGCAGACTGCAGCTGCTGTTACTGCTCCTGTCCTTGACCTGTGCCTGGCCAGCCTGGTCCCCACTGGAACCCAGGGAAGCCACCCACACTGCTAGATATACACAGAAATGCAGAATAACCCTCCCTTCATACAAATAATAAGAACAGCCCATACACAAACATACACACAATCCGCACAAACATAACCCGCTAACAATCCACATACATGCACACAACCCCACATGCAGCCTCTCACATGCAATACCCAAAACAGCCCACAAACACTACCAAACACACAATGGGACATATCCATCCACACACAATTCCACAAGCAGCCCTCATACACAGCCAACATTTATATGTATCATACACGATACCATAAACTACTAATGAACATATTCAATCTAATAGCTCATATACACACAAATACAATGATACAAAGCAATTACAGTATAAATAACACAAGCAGAATACGGCAACATACAAACGTCAATTAAAAAAAAAAAATAGGATCGGTACACTATTTGACATCACAATCCTATATAGGCACAGTGCTGCTAAAAGGTTGCCTACCCCTGCACTAGAACATGTTGCACCTGTCCACTCTGTATTCTCTCCCTTGTTTTTGATTCTTTGACTGATTCTTATCATTAGGTCTAAAGGCATCCACATTATTAATATTCCAATTTAAGGCTTATTACTGAGTGGACTTGCGATCCTCTAGTACCCTATTAAGATATTTAAACAGTCTACATAACCCTCAGAACCCACCAACACTATATCTGCATTTGGAGGTCAGCACTATTTTACTATTCTTCTGGAAGATAGTCATTATACACTAGCCTGATCCTCTAACGCCTAATTGTAATTTTAGAACAGATCACCCAGGTTTTTAAAGGCGTATCACAGTTTTCTCACACTCCTTTTTGGGTTTATTACATTTTTTTGTGTGCATTTGTTTGTGTTCTTTTTGGAAGTAATAAAGATTTATACCATAACTATGAGATTATTTACCTTAGGAGGTTCTATCTAGTGTGAGGTATCCCACCCACTTTTGGTGAGTGGTTCTACCTTCCACTTTTCTGTCTTTTCAATATTGTATTTGGGGTTAGGCCCCTAGACACCTCCGGTAACCTATTATAAGGTTTATCCTACACTATAGCCTTCTTCCTGTTCTGTTCTATATATACTTATGTATATAGATATATATATTATTTAATTCTACGTGTATTTTGATATCAATATATATATTTTAAAATACAGTCAGAACAAATTACACATATATATATAGTTTATTTTTTAACTTATTTACATATATATTTATTTTATATATAAATATACATATAATTATCTATATATATATATTTAATCAATATTCTACGTGTATTTTTATATTAATATATAATTATATATTAATATTAAAATACACTTAGATAGTGCATGTGTATGCATGTATATGTGTATATATACTTAGATCATATATAAATAATATATATATATATATATATATATATATATATATATATATATATATATATATATATATATATCCTAAGTATATATTTTATTTTAAACTGTTTTAAAATCTTTTATTTTACAGTTTTCAGACAGCAGGCTGAGTACCTGTAATTACAGGCACTCCCCATGCTGGCATTGCTGTAGACGGCTATGCCGTCCATGTGATCGTGAGGTCCTCACAAGGACCTAGCGATTACATGGCCCAGGAGGGCCTGAACGGTAGCAGGGGGACTCCCTGGGATGCCAGGTGACTCCCTCCACCGTGATCGCTGGCGTGGGATCGCCGGCGACCGGGTAAGTACATAGGACGGCGGGGGCGTGCTATGCCGCCCCCCGGCGTTTAGAGCCAGGTCCCCAAGAGTTAAGGTGTTAAACACTTCTCTGAGTTCACTTTTTTTTTTTTTAAATATACTTATTGGAGCAAATAAAAGTAAACGTATTTTACTTAAAGTAAAAAAGTAATATGGTCACAAATTGGATTATATAACTTTGCACGATTTTTACATGAATGATATATATATATATATATATATATATATATATATATATATATATATATATTTTTTTTTTTGGGTTGATGATATTCTGAAATTGGGGTTTCATCAAGTATTTAATAGATTAATTCCTATATAACATGGTACCATCTTTTTTTTTCTTCTCTATTCTCTTATTTTTTTTTCTCTTTTTATTTCTTTATTTCTTTTTTTAGTTTTGACATGCTGTATTAAGGATTATTTATTAAATTTGAGTTGCAAGGATATGGGATTAATAGTTTTTTGTTAAGGCCAAGGGTAGTCAACCTTTTTCTACCTACCGCCCACTAATGCATCTTTCTTGATGGAAAAATGTCCTTACCGCCCACCAGTTTTCGAATTTTTTTTTTAGTGCAAGTGCAGAATATTTTTTAGAAAAGAGGGTGTTTAAAAAAAAAACAATTTACGTACATTTATCTTTTTATTTCTACTTTATAAACATGCATAATGTTTTTAACTTTATAAAGTTTAATGAGAAAACAATAAAGTAAATTGAAATTACCTTTAACTAGTGATTAATGAGATCCTTGAGGCTGATGCTGCGAGACTAAATATTTGATATCTGGTTCGATTTTCGTAAGGAACAAACAAAGGTCTCCTCTTCGGTGATTTTCAGACGCTATCTCCTTTTTTCTCCTATTCTACAAGTACTCAGCTCATTCTTTCTCCTTTTTTACAAGTACTTTGCTTCTTCTTTCTCCTATTCTACAAGTACTCTGCTCCTTCTTTCTCCTATTCTACAAGTACTCTGCTCCTTCTTTATCCTATTCTGAACAAGAGGTGCTATCCCTATTTAACACACAGAGCTGTGATACTCTGAGATGGTTCTTAAGGCTCTTATTCATGTTTAACACAATTATATGTTAAACAATGTACACTATTTGGTGTTGCATTTATATTCTTTTTGAGGAATTTCCTACAAGGTTGCTCTACATACGATTGGAAGGTGTGGTGGAAGAGCTACTGCCATTTTGTTATATGTAAAATATATGCCATTTCAAAGCTGTTGTTTACAGCAGACACATACTCCAACGAATCTATGTATAAAGTGGAAATAATGAGGCAAAAATGTGGTTCTTTGCTCTTTTGCATACGTCCAACCAGAATCCTTTGCAGTAGTGAAAGCACTGTTAAAGTGAGATTTCTGTGGGAAAAGCAACCCTTATGGCTTGACTGGTAAGTCTTTCCTTGTTGTAACTATCTACAGTCTGTCATAGAGCGATTGCTCATATGAGAATTGCTAATGGTTCTTAGTTAGATAGATATGCTCAAGTACCCAGAGCAACTCTGCAGTGTACCCTGCTTTGCAAGGTGATTAGCGACTAAAGTACCAGAGTCCTAGCGTTCAGGGTAGAAGTTTGCCAGGCTAGCTAGCGGAAGTTCACGCAGGTAATACAAGGTCCAGACTGTTACGCTTTTGGTAACAGACGACAGAACTGCTTCCAACTGAATGGCCAGTGAGAAGAGATGCATTCAATAGCGGGAAAAGTATGGGCTAATGCAAAAGATCCCACGGGTGATACCGGACCTGAATCATCCACCTTTAGATCAGAGCTCCAAGGGCTAAATTGTTACAATCACATGCTTTATCTATGGTCAGAGTAAATGAAAGAGTAAAGTTAGCGTTGTAATAGTACGGAAGCTTTGAGCCAGGGTTATTTGGCTCTGTACACAATTTAATTTATTATTTATTAGAGTCTATACTATGTTATGTATTTTGTAATTTGGGTAAATTGGTAAGAAGAAAAGGTGTTTTTCTTTTAAAATCAGTGCTTTTGCATCTAAATCTTAAACAAATTATAGGATTTGGAGGATTCACAAATCACTGGGTTTTATAACATCCTATTCATGTTTGCAAATCTCATTCACTTGCCTTTAAGGAAGTGAACAATGTTTGTAACTAATATTCAATGACACTGTGTCTGCTTGTTCCCAACCCCCATGATTTCACAGGCACCTTCCTGATCAGATGTCTGCCCAGTAGTTAGGTTTAAACATTTTGTAGATATTGTTGGGGCATAGGGCATAAAACAGCTTTTATTGGGGGTCTTATTGACAGCCACAGGGTTTTCATTTATTTAACTATTTAACATGGCACAGGCCAGCCACTGCATAATTAACCATAGCATTGCCAAGGGTTATGCAACTATTTACCCTCTGGCTGCTAGCACTGCCAGTGACTAAATCGTTTGGATTTTGTTTAAAATTCATGCCAGAACTGGGGCCAGGACTGTAAAATCCAGACATTGGGGCCAGAACTGCAAAATCTGGACATTATTTAATACTGTGAATAATGTCTGGATTTTTCAGTCCAAATGGACACATCAGGCAGCAAATGGTTTAGTCCTGTTCAATATGGGGTCACTCAGCGACTGACCACCGAAAATTGAACTGCTAAGAAATTCTGTGTTAAGAAGTTTATAGGATTAAAATATGTTTCAAAACACAAGTTAATATACTGTATGGAGTCAAACAAACACCCCTTTTTTATAGCGACAACAGACCTTCTAATGTAATTTCCCCCAGTGCAGAGTTATGAATGTAATAAGCAGGTTGTTAGTTTACTGTATTCTGTGACAGGATACAAGGCCTTTTATGAAGACTGGATTATTTCCTGAGTTTCTAGAGCCTCAGGCACTTCTGCTGACAAGCATTCAGCTTCCTAATGTATAGTGTAAATTATAAAGGGGGACAGATCCTGATAGTGGCGTGTAATTCACTACAATCTGAAGATCTCACAGTTAAATACAAGGTGAAGTGAAGAATTTAATAAGAAGCAGAGTATGACATGGCTGAGAAACGCAGTGACAAGCTGTATATGTATATAAATATATCAAAACTCCACACACCAAGCTAATTTTGGTTTTGTGCAGATCCAGAAATGTACGCTAAATTTATACTCTCAATGTTCAGAATTAAAGCTGATACAAAAAACCTCAGTATTAATTAGTGGTGCATTTTACCTCTCTCCTGTGTATCCCGCTGCACACTGACACCTTCCAGTCACTGGATCGCACTGTCCTCCATTGTGGCACTGGCACTCATGGCTGCAGTTCATCCCATATTTCCCAGACGGGCATGGCTGAGCACAGACAGAGCCCTGTGTAGAGGAGAATAGTGAAATAATAGTGATATTCTCTGGTTATGAGAAGGAGATGACTGGAATCCTTTATATGATGTTATGATAGACAATACAATAGGTATGTAGCACAAACATGATCTGTACCGTCCATCCTGCAGGACATGCACACTCTCCGGTCACATGGTGACATACTCCCCCATTCTGGCAAGGACAACGCAGCTCACATAACGCCCCATGGCTGCCTGGAGGGCAAAGCTCTTCACAGCTAGAGTGGGTATAAATACAACACATATTATAACATACTTATTTACCCCACCACTTGTATTCATGAACATATGTAATCTTAACAAAGTGTCTCTCATGACATGTATATACTCACAAAGCTCCTGTGTATCCTGGAGCACAGTGGCACTCGCCGGTCCTGTGGTTACATGTTGCTCCATTCTGGCATTGGCACCTAAGTTGGCAGGCTTTTCCATAGGCGCCAGGGTCACATAAGTCCTCACAACGCCACCCTCTGTAACCCTCTGAGCACACACAGGCACCAGTTATAGGATTACAGAGCGCTTCATTTTGACACTGGCAGCGATTACTGCAGTGAGGGCCCCAGTGCTCACTGTCACAGCCTGCAAATAGCGACACAACAGAAATAAATAAGTTATTATAGTGAAACATAAAATACACACAAAAAGTTCTTTAGAAAACTCAACATACCCAATAAGGACAAGCACAGCATGTATGAATACAGCTATTTAATAAATACTGCCGTGGCAATTAGTTTTTCTTTTTATAAATTAGCCATATATAAACTGTAGTCTGTAGTACACGCTACAAGATGGCGCCTGCAACTGCAGCCCCATCCCTTCTATTCTTCTTATGAAGCAGGATAGTAAGGTGAGGACAAGCATAAAGCTATGTTATGAAACAAAAACAAAGGATATGAGAATTCTGAGAACGGATAAAAGCTTAGAGGAACTCAGTAGCTTGCCCTTCGGTAAATTCCTGCTCAGGTCTCAAAATACTTTGTGCTCACTTGTGCCATTACAGAGTGAGCATATCTGAACCATATCAGACTGATTCCACTTGTAACAAAAAACTATTTTGAGACCTGAGTGGAGATTTACCCGAATGGCAAGCTACTGAGTTCCTCTAATACATTGCATTAACTTGGCTCTCCCTATGTTATGAAAGCCTGTTAGGGAATGGCAGAACATATCACATTCATTTCATTTAGAAATTGACATGATTTAGGGCAGTGCTATTTATTGTAATCACAATAAAATCACGATATGAACCTTTCAAATATTTTTACATGCCAGTCTGTCTGTCATTTTTATTAAGCTTTGATTCACATCTATAGTAAGTCAGATCCAGGGAACACAGAAACCATTAACAATAGTATCTAACAAAAAGGCTAAATGTGTTTTTTGCATTAATAAGTTCAAGGGTGCGCTGCTGTTTGGGAAATATATGTTGATCATAGATAAAAACAACAAAAAAAGGGCACTTACAGGACTTGTAATGTAGTCTTCCAGCATCTTTGATAAAAAACAATGCCTAGTGGGGGATTAAAACATTACAAGTCCTTTGAGAGCTCTCTCTCTCTCTATATATATATAAATAAAACTATATGGACAAAAATATTGGGACACACTTCTTAATTTTTTAATTCCGGTGTTTCAATCAGACCCATTGCCACAGGTATATAAAATGAATCACACAGCCATGCAAGCTGCCTTTATTTTTATGTTTTAAAGTTGCAGTGTAGATGTGAAGTGGATTTGATTAAGTTTGTTTGAGGAAATTAGCCTTACATTTGCAGTGTAGATGAGTCTAACAGTTAACCTGAACAGTCACACTTTAACCGAACTCTGCGAAAAGTCGCCAATATTGTCTATTTTTCTGGTGAAAACAATGATTTTCCCACTATTCTTACTTACCTGAGTAGGGGACCCAGTATGGGACGCAAAAACAAATGACCAAAAGCCGATAAGAGCCCACTGAGCTGAGATATTGGGGATCAATTCTTCAGTTCACAGAATGCCACATAGGAAAACATGGCGCACCTTGATGAAGGCCACAGTTGGCACGAAGTCGGGACCTAACCAATCTATGTATGGAGACCAGGAACCAGTCACAGCAGTGCAGCTGAAGGTGATCCTAGCTGTCACATTGCCCAGATTGTTACACTGCTTGGGGAGGTCCCTGAAGGGGAGGGGAGAGGGACTCTTCCCACGGTCCCACTCATCTCACCAGAATCATCTACAAGCATTGGGCATAGATTAACCGACTGGGGCCGCAGAGACAGACATAACCCACGGAGTCCCTACACGGCTAGTGACTCACTAATAGCAACCACCAAATGGCATATTTTCCACTTCCAGTTTTAAATTGGTTCATTTTTCTTGTTTTATATTTCTTTTTTTCTGTTCTTTATTACCACTACATTTGCTGGGCAACTTCACAATTAGGCTATTTTACTGCCTACTAAAAGCTTAAGTTTTTTAGCAGCCAGTGTTTATCTTCCTCCAAATCATTTAGCGGGCAAAGAATAGGCATCATTCTATCTCTTTCCGATGATTTACACTCAGATGTCATGGTTGTCTTGATGTATGCCTTTGACCTGCATTGCTTACCTGTCTATATCTTACTCATATGTGAAGTGAGAAAAATAAAGAATTGAAAAAAAAAAAAAAAACCTGATTTGCAGAGTAGAAATTAAGTGGATTTGATTCAGATGGTTTTTGCAATTGGTGAAACATTGGTGGAACTTTTGTGAAAAAAAATGGACTCAGTGAAGAGCTCAGTGAATTCAAGCATGGTAGTGTGATAGGATGCCACCTATGAAATACATTTGTGAAATGTCATCCCTGCTAGATATTCCTGGTCAACTGAAACTGGTATTATTGGAAAGTGGAAGCGTTTGGGAACAGTAGCAACTCGAAGAGGAAGACTGTCACCGAGTACTAAGGCGCATGGTGCGCAAAAGTCACCAACGCTCTGCTAATTCCATAGCTGAGGAGTTCCAGACTTCCACTCGCATTAATATCAGCACAAAAACTGTGAGGCAGGAGCTTCATGTAATGGGTTTCCAAAGCCAAGCAGCTGCATGCAAGCCTCACATCACCAAGTACAGTGCCAATCATTTGATCAAGTGGTGTTAATCACACATGCTTGTCTGGCAGTCTGATGGCCATTCTGGGTTTGGCAGATGCCAGGAGAACGTTGCCTGCCTGACTGCATTATGCCAACTGTAAACTTTGATGAAGGGGTATTGGTATGGGGCTGTATTTCAGAGGTTGGCCTAAGCCCCTTACTTCCAGTGAAGGAAAATGTTAATGCTTCAGCATACCAAGACATTTTGGACAATGCAATGTTTCCAACTGTGTAGGAACAGTTTGAGGAATGTCCAAAAAGCAATGGTTGGAAGAGTTTGGTGTAGAAAAACTTGACTGGCCCTAACCTCAACCCCATCGAACAACATTGGGATGAACTGGAACAGAGATTGCGAGCCAGGCCCTCTTTTCCAACATCAGTGCCTGACCTCAAAAGTACTTCACTGGATGAATAGGCAAAAATTCCCACAGAAACACTCTAAAATGTTGTGGAAAGCCTCCCCAGAGGAATGGAAGCTGTAATAGCTGCAAAGGGGGACCGTCTACATATTAATATCTATGTATTTAGAATGTAATGTTATAAAAGTCCATGTTGGTGTAATGGTAAGGTGTCCCAATACCTTTGTCGTGTGTGTGTGTGCGCACACACACACACACACACACACACACATATATATTGCCCGGTGCTTAATCCAAATTGTATATAAAACAAAAGAACAACTAGTAGCACTCCACAGTGACAGTCCTAAATATCAATCTCTGGTAACTGCTGGGCCTAAACTATTTGCATGTTTTCGGTCTATGAAACTACGTTATTAACAACAGATTGCCTGGCCAAAAGTTTTCCTTGCCATAATGAACAGCGCCTATGTCACCGGTAAAATGTAACAAAAAACAAACTCTCCTTAGTTATCAGTCTAACGAAAAAAATTCTGGTTTGGGGAACTGTTTTTCTGCACTAACTACTGGGTATAGTCAGAAATATAATATTATAAGATCTGTGGATGTCTGCGTAGCGTATCTACTTGTATTGTTGTACACTGAATGCCCTAATCTTCAATATCTGTTACAGTATTGTTACATTATATGCCAACTAAAATAACAAGAATATCTAGATGGTACATTTAATATATTGAGCCAACAGCTAGCTGTAACATATTTCTTTTTAATACTATTTTTCATTACCCTGCAATACATTTGAAATGTATTAGGACCAGATCTGCTCACCTCTTTACTCACATGGTAAAATAAAACCATTGTGCAGTAATATGGAGCTGTATTTAGTTACCTACACATTATGAATGTCAACTTGATTTTCTAAACGGAAAGAACAGGGGGTAGAGTTATGCATTCTAACACTTGGCAGAAAGAACATCCACGGCTGCATTAATCATAAGGCAAATAAAGCAGACATCTAGAATATAATTCCCTTTACTTTCCAACTATGCATGATCCACAAAAATTTTTACCATGGTGAGTTTAAAAAAAACACAATTTTTTTTACAGTGGATATATGAAGTCTACACGTTTTTGAAATTTAAAGACAGAAATAACAACAATGTAAAAGTCAGATTTTTCCATCTGTAGTGAGGTTCTCCAACAAATAAAACTCCAAAGGAAAAAAAAGCTATAATATAGGTTTAATATATATTAAAAGGACACTGTAGTTCCCAAAACAAGGAATTAAATTACTTTTGTTTCTGTTTATGCAGCCCTAGCCAGAGTCTGAATGAAAACAAATTGGTTTTATTTTTAACCAGATATAACTTACTTTAAACGTTTTTATCTCCTGCTCTGTAAATTTAACTTACACTACAAATAGGGTCTAGCAAGCTATTTAAAGAGCAGGAGATAAGACATTCTAAATTAAACAGAATTTGCAATAAAGGAAGTGTAAACATTAGATGACTCTTTACAGGAAGTGTCTGGGAAGGCTGTGTAAGCCACATAGAGGGAGGCGTCGTTTTAACTCTTAGGAATATTTTAAATAATTAATAATTAATTAATAAGTAAATAAATATATATATAAAACAGAAAACAACATACAGCACCTTGAATTCAAGAGCTATTGTCAGCATGCCGCTATCCTAATGGAGTGAATTGATAATTGTCAACCAACCATCTAAATTGGATGGAACAGACAAGGTTA